TAGGTAGATATAATTTGTTTTGTGCTTGTTTGCTGCAGGTGTCAGGCCCGAGGCCACAGGGTTTCAGTTGAACCCTTCAACCGCGCCTTGGGCATCAGGTTCTTGATTAAAGAGTCAAAAGAAATGAAATAAAATAAAGTTTAAATAAAAAACAAATATATAAATATATAAATATATATATATAGCATAGGCTTTAGATGGCGATGCGCAGCGGAGTTCAGAATACGCTGCCGCGCAGCAGGAAGAAGAAACTCTTCCTTTAGTAGCAGCTTTGTGTTACGCTGTGATTGTTGTTGTTTTCTTTTTCTTTTTCTTTAGGGGTAGTATCCCGCCTTTTTGTGTTTCTGCTGATATATCCCCGCCAGTCTGCGGCTTTGTAGTTAGTTTCATGCTTTGTGATGCAACAAAAACAATTTTAGCATTTTAAACAAAGAAAAGCTAAACAACTGAATTTATTCAGTTTTACTGCTGTTTATGATAAACACCAACCCCACCTTTTGGCTACGGATGAAAAAGGTGGGGTTCAGGTGTATGCAGGCAGAACAACTATTTAGGTCTTTTGAGCCCTCAACTTTTTATACAGCACCACAACGAAAAAGGAACATAGACACAGCACCAGAGAGACAGATGCATGCAGATTTGAACTGTACTCGTATCCATACTCTACTTCTGAAGCAATAGAATAGAAACCGCCAGCTAGTTTTATCGTTTCCTGTTCGCTTGCGTGGTGCTGAAGGGCAGCGCCATACAACGCTTCCTGTTTCGGTGGTTGCGAGATATAGGAGAGGCTGTATGCTGCCTAAACCCTAAACCCTAAACCCTATTTGATTACCTACTAATGAATTAATGAGTTATTGCTACAACGCTAAACCCTAAAACCCTAAAAGCTCGACCTCTGTGTTTTTGTTTAACGAGTTTGCGTCAGTTGTAGTTGAGCAGGCAGCTGCATCCAGAGTGTCTATTGAATAAGCAAACAAGGGGAAGAAAAATGCCTGGCGTTTCTCTCTTCATTATCATACATATATATATATATATATATATATATATATATATATATATATATATATATATATATATATATA